TCAGGTAATGCCACATTCTTATTTTATGTAAATAAAAGTCTGGGAGCAGAGGAAGGCTGCGGCTTATCTGTCAACTTTGACTATTAACCTCAGTGACGAGCACGGGCCGGCTGCTTTTATCTAAATTGAAAAACAGAGTTATTTGAATATCATGAGGGAGAATGCAATATACTGCGGCGAGGGGAAAAACGGTTGCTTTCCCCATTTTTCTTCAGTGAGATAAGACTGTATTTAGTGGCAATGCCGACAGAGCTTATGAGAACAAAGCATTTGAGGCGAATAATTCTTTCTTTCTGAAATGTCCCCCGGCTTTTTTAATGGAATCCTTTAATGCTAAATGGAAATTTATATCTGGTGATTACTCTTGTGGTGTCAATGTTATTACCTGTCACTAAACATGAGGTGGCCGTCTCCGTGCATCCGCGGCGTGTCTCTTTGTCATCAAACGCCAGGGGCGAATGGATATGGGCATTTAAACAGAGAACAGAGTATCTTTCTTGAGGTTTTTTTTAATGTTTATATTTTATTATTTTAAAAATCTGGAATTCAGGATAGAAAGTTGGGAAGTCGTTTGTAGTTTCCCTGTGTAGTCAAACTTTGGGGTTTTTTTTTTAAATCAAAAATACTCGCGCTGAAGCAACTGCCTGTCAATTGTTGCAACAAAATACAAATATAAATAGAATGATTCGGCTCTAATCTAACCGTGTTAGCAACAGCAACATTTCCTTGTTTCCACCTTGTTAAAAAAACATGGAAATGCACTTTAAGACCGTATAATCTCCAGGGAAATCATGCAGCTCCAGTCCCTCACTGTTTCCATATGATGAAATGCAGAAATATTAATGAGCGTGTAACTTAGATGCTTGTTACAAATATGCGCAGTGACACAAGCATCTCTTCACCAAGGGGAGGGAGTCATAAATTATTTACCCTGGGGGTGAATTTATGGCTTTCAGAAGAGGCACAGAGAACGTTTTATTAAGTTTGTCCATATTGAACAAATTAAATCTTTCTTTAATTATCTTATATTTACAGATTGTATTTAATCATCGCTGTGTAGTGTATGTAAGGGAATCGTGGTGCAACTCCTCGTCTGACTACTCACATGTCTCCATGCTGTTTTCGTCCTCCGTCAACGTGACGCCAGGTTTCTCGTACGACTTGTCGATGGCGGCTCGGAAACTCTCGTTGCAGCCTCGGCCCCTGACGATGCGCGAGCTTTGCCTGTTGACATTAATCTCGCTTTTCAGCGCGGCTTCGGCGACGGCCGTCTGGAGACTTTCGAGGGAGCTGGACTTCTTCAGGCCCAGTGAGGGTCCAACCTCTTCTGTTTTGCCTACGATAAAAAAAAAGACTTGTGAGTGAAGCCACCAGACTAACTAGTAACTAGTTTCATATAGGGGCCAATGTTATGTGCCACACTTGGCGGGGAGTAAGAAAGTGTGGCAATTAACATGAAAAACAAATTGTGTCTTTACTTGGCCAACGACGTGTGAAAATGAGAACAGAGTATTACACTTCAGCCAGACATTCTCCCTGAGAACGTAATGATTTTGCTTTTGTTCTGCAGACAGGAGTTAAATCACAGCGCTGAAATGAAACGCAAAAATTGTAACATCAAAAGAAGGGTATGCGGCAGAGTTATTACAGCGTCACTGTATTATCATAAATTCCAGCAAAGCGTTAGATGAACCTTAAACAGTCCACCAGCCCAGGTGTCTGAGATGCTTTCACCAACTGAAATGAAGGACATAAATTAGCAAAGAGAGAATGAAGTCCATTTATTTGTGAATTTATGAAGGACATAAATTAGCAAAGAGACAATGAAGTCCATTTATTTGTGAATTTATCTCTTTGTTTTGTTCTGAGGCTTCATAAAATATTATTATTAATGTCAAACACAAAGTGGTTCCAATAAAACAACCACCTTTTCTGTGAATGCTGCGCGAGCTGTTAATTAGCCTAATGGGCATTGACTATTGAAACTAAAGAGATGGGTAAACAAAAACACCAAATAAAACAAATACAAATACAAATAAAACACCACATATAATCACGGAGAGATGGTTTAAGGGTCCTTTATAACAAAGTGACAATTCTAATACAACTATTTCACTGATAAATTGTGCCTATAGAATGGTGCGGTGTGATTGATAGGCTAATAGTACATGACAACATTTTTGGATTTTGTTTTTACTGCAGTTTATACACGCACAAAAAAAACTGCAGCTGATAAATAAGCCAGTAGACCAGCAGTGTAGGAAACGGAGTGATTCTTAATCAGTCCTTTTTCCCCGTCCAGAGCCAGTCCCTGAAAAGCTGTAATTATTTTTCCAATGCTCGCCAGGAGTTTGTTTAGGGTATGTCAGCGGAGCACGACTAAAGTATTGGTATTTCATTTTGTCAGGGAGCGTCTGTCAGTTCCCCGGAGCTCTTACCTTACTTGCCAGAAGGTAAACAAACAACCCAGTTGATTTTCTGTCCCTTTTATTCTCCCCTGATTTGACGCGTTCCACGCCGCTGTCAAACACAACAACGCGGATTTCGAAAATTGCACAAGTGAAGCCATGTTACGTGTAACCTTGAGTGCAGTATTAGCAACAACGAATAAGCTGTTTCATTCAATTGCTCCTGCGGCCTCGGCGGCTCTGTCAGGACGCGGCGCACGTCGATGAAGTCTGGACAGAGTGCCATTGTTTCTTTACGACTCCCTGCGGTCTGCGCCCCAGACTCTCCACATGAAGAGCATGTGCGGCGGCTGTTTCCTCCGTGGCTTCGCGTGATGTAAACAAATGTCTCCTGCAGGCAGTCCTGTTGGTTCTCAATAACAAATGTTTCTCCTCGGTCCCGTCCAACAGAACACACACGTGCAAGCCAAGATGTATATGTTTCTATGACGACGCTCCGCGCGGGGAACTCCTCGACTGACATGGAAACACAAACGCATGACATGCACGCCCTGGACATGTTTACAGAGACCTTAATAATGCGTGACCCAGTGCTGCAGAGTGATCACAGAGGGTCTTTACGTTGGAGGCCTGCGAGGCCAAACACAGAGTAGGCAAAGAAAATAAACTCCCATCACTGAAAGAAAACAATTTGGGAGAATGTGATTGAGTTTGTTTGAGAACACCAGAGACTGGTGCAGGAGCAGATGAAAAATGATGCATCACCACTGCATGGAGCAGGGCAGGGGTCTCAAACTCCTGGCCCGGGGACCAATTCTGGCCTGTAAACCCCTGGCATCCGGCCAATTATTGGTAATTCAATTCATCGCTCAGGCTAATTTATATGAATTATTTTATTTTATTTATTTTTTTACAGTTTGCACTGTAGTATTATACAGGATTTATACTTAGACAAAACCAACTTTTTTTTCAAAAGCATCTTGGTTTATTTTCACTGAGTTGTGGCCCCCAGCTCATCTGAGGTCACGACCCCTGGTTGAGGGTATACATTCGTAAGAATTTTGCAGCATTCTGCAGAAACGTGCATTTTTTCTGCAACTGTAAATCAACAGAATTTCCTGATAACTGATCAGATTGATAGTTCGTATGGACTGTGTATTGTGATTAAGCACAGCTCAAATATTAACCTACATGCCGTATCAATTTTTTTGGGGGGGGGGGTTTGTGCTTTTTGGAACATTTTGTCTACGCACACACAAAGGCTGTGAGTGCCTTTCCAACATCTATAGATCTGATGCCAAAGATGTCAGATAGGCTAAAAGGCCAGCTGTTAGCCATCGGTGTTGGGTTTCCACGCTGGTAATCCTACTGTTATGTACTTAACACACCATTTTCCCCTCCCCTTGTTATCAATGTTAAAACAAGTGCAGAGTCCCAGGAGAACCTGGACTCAATCCTGAAAGTACCACTCAAAATAAATGAACACCAATCCAATAAAGCCTCCCATTTAATGGAAAGAATCTGAAGAGTGTGCCTTCGGGCTGCACTGGACGGCAAAATGAAACTTTACTGTGTACCACAAATGTCTGCGAGGTCAAGAGTTCTCCGGTTGCAGGGAAAGAAGATTCATTTTACTGCTTAATGCCCCAAAGAGATGGAACATTTCTGATTAGAGGGACAAATTTTGGTGCCAAGAAAGCAGAAAAAAGCTGACGCGAGTAAGAGAATACCAGTAAATATCAAGCAATTCATTTGTTCGGAAGGGGTTATCTTGTCACGGAACGGACAGGAAATGACACATTTAACAGGATATCAATCAGAATTATGACTTAATCTTAATGTCTGACACGATGGAACGGCAGGTTTAAGCCACATAAGATTCGCCGTTCATACAAACACAAACGACATCTGCCGTACTTGGAGCCAGGGAATTACTCTCCCTCTTGGTATTCCCTACCACGATCCCTTCTGCCGTTGCTCCTAGTCGTTGTGGTGAAAGGCTGAGTGCAGCAGAGAGACAAAGAGAATGAAAGAGTGAAGCAAAGAGACAGAGTTTGCCACAGAGCCTGGCTCTCTCCAACCTGCCTTTGTTTTCATCAGAGGCAGCCCGGGCTCTCCTGGGAGAATTTGACGGACAGCTCTCTGTATGCCAGTCTATTATGCGATTCCTATCACACAACAGAGGTTTCGGCGCTGTGCTCCTCATCTCTGTCTTATTCAGAGGGATGAAAATACATATTCCCCACACGGCAGACAGACACGAGCCTGTCTCTCCCCACATGTCTGGAGAAATCAAAAATTATAATAATGAACTATGCCGAAAGAAAAGCAATCGCGGCAAAGTTTGTGCAAAGTGCGCGTCAACTTTTACTGCTGCTTGGTCGAGACGACCAACGGTGGTGTGTTTTTAAAACCAGTTTACCAGCAGAGTCAATTAAGACATTAAACATGACGTGATTCATGGCAAACTCCATGAATAAATCAGCAGTACATAGTATAATAAGAGCAGCTGAAACTACACTCTCCAGCCATTACTCAGCGCAGAGCCTTGCATGTAAAGATCTGTGTACAGACAGGAGCTCCATTACACGTAATGTATTCAGAATATCAGGGCTTTAAGCAGGGTGGTAAAAGGGTAATTATGTTAAAAATAGCCTCCAAGGTGGTTGAGGGAAGGCCACGTCCAGGCGTCCTATTAGAAGCGAGTCCTCCCTGGGTCACCTGGGTGTCTACAGTATGTCTTTACCAGTTGGGTGTCATTAGCCTAATAGAGGACGTCCGGCTCGTGTCGAACATCCGTCACCGAGGGATCAACCTCGCCCAGACTTCCCGTTCATACCATTATCACGAATGCTGTTTTAAATACAACATATGAGCTGCAACGGAATGAAACAAGCCAATCAGGTTTCCCTGCCCCTGCGCTGGGCCAACAAAGCACCTTCTCTTCGCTATGTTCATCAGGAATGACCAGCAGGGGGCTTACTCTTGCTAGTGTGCACTATGGCAATAATCGACAACTTAGAACAAAATACATCATCCAGTGATTCTTAACCGTAGAACTGGGGCCCAAACTTGCGCCACTTAGAGGTTTGCAAAGACATTTGCACCTTTGGCCAAAATTGATCAACTGCAAATCAACTAAAGATACTGAAAGCACATTTTATTTAGTGTTTATATAATTTGAAAATATTTTTATATTACTTGAATGTATATATTTTTACCATACCATTTTTAAACTTTTCCCTTTTATATATAATTCAAACTTTTCCCTTTTATATAAAATTTTTTAATATAAAATATAAATATTGCTTTTTTACGATTAAAAATTGATATTTTACAAGGATTTTACTAGTTAAATTGTAAGTGGATTTGGTCTATTATTGAGTACAAATCAAATCATGAGTGAGGTCAATTACAATTACAGTGTTTTTATTTGTACTATAGAAATTGGGCCTTAAGGTCAAAAGGGTTAAGAACGTTGTTGTTTTCTGCACTCATACTCCTGTCACATTATTTCTACATAAAACTGACACACAGTCACAGATAGACAGTTTCCAGTGTCTGACTCTGGTTGACCAATCACAGTGTAGTCCCCAGCCAGCCTCCTAAAGATTTTTTTTTTTTGGAAATACCTGTGTTAATCAGATGTAAACTTTGTTTTAAATTTGCAGACTCACACATGAAAAATCATGTGAAGAAAAAATTCCTCTTTCATCCACTTATCAAGTCACCCGGTGTTTAATTTAATAGAGTAATTCTCAATAGCTCAATACTGTCTGACTATGATGGATCGATTGCAGTGGGCTGAAGGGGCCAACTGGCAAAGAATCTCTCTCTGTTTCAAATGCCACTCCATCGCCTGACTTTCTTTGACACCACACCTCCTTCAGCGCTCCGTTGTTTTCGCCAATCATTTCACTGCAGAACACAATAGCACAGGTTCCCACGCCAGTTGCCAAGTCTCCTTTCACAGCCACGAAACTCCATCTTAGAAATATATAAAAAATCATATGATCGCGGTGCAATTACCTCGAATAACAATCCCCCTCCATTTGCATACGACACCACGCAGCCAATAACGGCTGGTTATGATTATGGGGAAGGAGCAGGACTGCATTACT